ATGGTTATGCTTGCGTGTACGTACGTATGGTTGTATGTGTGTATGAATGTGTGTATGTGTGTGATTGTGTGTATGAAAGGATGTATGCATGTATATATGTACGCATGTATATGTATGCGTGTATCTGTATGTGTATATATACAGATGTATATATACATAAACATGCTTGCCCACACTCACACACACACACACACGATCATACATGTTCTTCGGGTGTGTGTATATATATACGTTCCCCTCCCTCATCTGCTCCCCGCTCTCCGTCGCTCCTCCTCATCCTCTTATCCTCCTTCAGCGGGGCAGTGCAACCTCGGGCTGAGGGCGGCGGGGTAGCGCAAGGCTTCTTAGCGGGAATCCGTTGGAAAGCACCACAAATGGATTTGATTGGATTGGAAAACGCAACGAAAGCGATTTCATTGGAAAGCCTCACAACAGGAATCCTTTGAAAAGCACCACCAAGGGATTCGATTGGAAAGCGGGAATCCTTTGGAAAGCACCACACAAGGATTCGATTGGAAAGCCTCACAGCAGGAATCCTCTGGATAACACCACAAAGGGATTTGATTGGATTGGAAGGCGCCACAAATGGATTACATGGGAAAGCCCAACACCAAGAATCTTTTTTGGGAAGCGCAACTAAAGGATTGGATTGGAAAGCCGCACAACAGGAGTCCGTGGGAAAACCACCACAAAGGGATTCCATTGGATTACCTCACAACAGGGACCCTTTGGAGAACATCGCAAAGGTTTTTTTTATTGGACTGAAAAGCGCCACAAAGGGATTCCATTGAAAAGCCTCACAACAGGAATCCGCTGGAAAACACCTCACAGGGATTATATTGAATATCTTCGCCACAGGAATTCTTCGGAAGGCGCCACAAAGGGATTCGATTATATTGGGCAGCGCCACGGAGGGATTCGATTGGAAAGCCTCACAGCAGGAATCTTTTGGAAAGCACCACAAGGGGATTCTCTTGGAAATCCTCACTACAGGAATCCTTTGGAAAACACTACAACGACATTATATTGGAGAGTACCACAAAGACCTTCTTGGCACTGCAAAACAGAAAAAAAGACCCAGAGCTGAAACACCCAAACAAAAGTGTCAAAAACAAAAACAAAAACAAAAACACGTTTGCAGCACGTTTTCTGTAAGGGCGGCGGGGACGGGGTAAGTCTTGAAATATTTGGTTGGTTTTGTTTTCTAGTGTTCCGTATGTTTTTGTGGTGTGTCAGTTCTGGGTCGTTGGTTTCTTTGGTTTGTTGTGTGTTTTGTGTCTTGTCTTGGTTTCCAGTGCACAACCTCATGTTTCTCCAACCCTCCTCCTTCTCCTCCTGCCCCCTCCTCGTGGAGGGACGTCCTTTTGTGCTGGAGGAATAGATTCGTTGTCATATGGTTGCCTTCAGAAAGCACCACCGCAAAAGGATGTTATTGGATTGCCTCACAGCAGGAGTCCTTTGGAAAGCATCGCAAAGGGTTTCTATTGGAAAGCATCACACCAGGAACCCTTTGGAAATCACCACAGATGGATTCTATTGGAAGGGAAGGCGCCACAACGGGATTTGATTGGAAAGCCTCACACCAGGAATCCTATGGAGAGCACCACAACTGGATTCGATTGGAAAACCTCACGCCAGGAATGATTGCCGCGCAACCAAAGGATTCTATTGGAAAGCCTTACAACAGGAATCCTTTGGAACGCACCCCACAGGGATTCCATTGGAAAGCCTCGCAACAGGAACCCTTTGGAAAGCACCACAGAGGGATTCGATTGGATTGGAAACCACCACAAAAGGACTCGATTGGAAAGCCTCACACCAGGAATCATGTGGAAAGCACAACCAAAGGATTCGATTGGAAAGCCTCACAACAGGCATCCTGTGAAAAGCACCACAAAGGGATTCTATTAGATTGGAAAGCGCCACAAAAGGATTCGATTGGAAAGCCGCACAACAGGAGCCCTTGGGAAAAGCACCACCAAGGGATGCCACTGGACTGCATCACAACAGGGATCCGTTGGAAAGTATCGCAAATGGTTTCTATTGGAAGGCCTCACCACAAAGAAATTCTATTAACTTGGAAAGCGCCATAATGCGATTCTATTGGAAAGCCTCACATCAAGAGTCCTTTCGAACGCACCTCACAGGGATTCCATTGGAAAGCCTCGCAACCGGAATCCGTTGGAAAGCACCACAACGGCATTCGATTGGAAAGCCTCACACCAGGAATGACTGCCGCGCAACGAGAACCATTTGGAAAGAACAATCGAAGGCTTCGATTGGAAAGCCTCACAACAGGCATCCTTCGGAAAGTACCGCACAGGAATTCTATCAGATTGCAAAGCGCCACAAAGGGATTATAATGGAAAGCCTCACACCAGGAATCCTCTGGAAAGCGCAACTAAAGGGATCCGGTTGGAATGAAGCACAACAGGAGTTCTTGGGAAAGCACCACGAAGGGATTCCATTGGACTGCATCACAACAGGAATCCGTTGGAAAGCATCGCAAAATGTTTCTATTGGAAGGCCTCGCAACAGGAACCCTTTGGAAAGCACCACAGGGATTCTATTGTATTGGAAAGCGCCAACAAAGGGATTCGATTGGAAAGCCTTACAACAGGAATCCTTTGAAACGCACCCTACAAGGATTCTATTGGAAATCCTCGCAGCAGGAATCCGTTGGAAAGCACCACAGAGGGATTCGATTGGATTGGCAGGCACCACAAAGGCATTCTATTGGAAGGCCTCACACCAGGAATCCTTTGGAAAGCACCACAAGGAGATTCGATTGGATTGGCAAGCACCACAAAGGCAGTCGATTGGAAGGCCTCACACCAGGAACCCTTTGGAAAGCACCACAAAGAGATTCGATTGGATTGGAAAACACCAAAAAGGGATTCGATTGGAAAGCCTCACACCAGGAATGATTGCTGCACGACAGGAATCTTTTGGAAAGCACCACGCAAGGATTCGATTGGAAAGCCTCGCAACAGGAGTCCTTTGGAAAGCACCACGAAAGGACTTTATTGTATTGGAAAGCGCCACAAAGGGATTCGGTTGGAAAGCCTCACACCAGGAGTCCTTTAGAAAGCGCAACTAAAGGGATTCGATTGGAAAGCCGCACAACAGGAGCCCTTGGGAAAAGCACCATTAAGGGTTTATAGTGGACTGCATCTCAATCTGAATCCTTTTGAAAGCATCGCAAAGGGTTTCTATTGGAAGGCCTTACAACAGGAACCCTTTGGAAAGCACCAAAAAGGGATATTATTGGATTGGGAAGCGCCATACAGGGATTCGATTGGAAAGCCTCACAACAGGAATCCTTTGAAAAGCACACCAATGATTCGATTGGAAAGCCTCGCAACAGGAATCCGTCGGAAGGCGCCACACAGGGATTTATTGGATTGGACAGCGCCACAAAGAGATTCGATTGGAAAGCCTTACAACAGGAATCTGTTTGAAAGCGCCACAAAGGGATTCTCTTGGAAATCCTTACAACAGGAATCCGTTTGAAAGCACCACAACGGGATTCTATCGGAACCACCAGGACCTTCTGGGCATTGAAAACCAAAAACATGAAAACCAAGCAAAAACAAAGAAACCAAAGACCCAGGGCTGAAAAACAACAAAAACAAAAAAAAAAAAAAAAAAAAAAAAAAAAATCTCCGCAAGGGCGGCGGGGACGGGGTAAGTCTTGAAATATGTGGTTTGTGTGTTGTGGTTCCTTGTGTGTTGTGTGGCTGTTCATCCCTGGGCATTTGGGGTTTCTTTGTATGTGGTGGTGTTTCTCGTGTTTGTTTGTCGTTTCACTGCCCAACGTCCTCTTCCTCCAACCCTCTTCCTTCTCCTCCTGTCTCCCCCTCGTGGAGGAACGTTTTCTGTTGTGCTGGACGAATAGATATGTTGTCAGATGGCTTCCTTCAGAAACAACCGTGTGTAAGGCTTTTCGGAACGAGATCCCGTTGTAAAGCTGCCACGCTCTTGCAGGAGGAGGAGGGGTGGAGGAGAAGGGGATGAGACAGAGAGAGAGAGAGAGAAAACGAAGAAAAGTGGAGGAGGATGAGGAGAAGGAGCTATGGGGTGCATGGACGAAGAATATGTATGATCACCTGGTGGGGGCTACCATGTAAATATATATGCATATATATATATGTCTCTATATATATATGTATATATGTATGTACATGTGTATACATAAATATATATATACATGTATATTTATATAAATATACATCTATGTGGGGGGTGCCTTTTCCTCACCTATCCTCAGATCGGCTCAGTTAGTGACGCATTGGAGCGAGGATTCTGGCCTTCGGGTAGAAGGCTTCGCTTCATCGTCAACATCCCACAGAATCCAGGGCGGGATCGGCTCTGTGACCCGTTCCCCCCCTTACACCCCCATGCCGCCCTTTCTCCCCAGAGTCCTCTCTTGGCTCGAGTCGAAAGGCTGCGCCTCGCCGCCGCTGGCCCGAGCTCCCGCCCTTCATCGGAGGGCGATGTCGCGGGATCGGGGACCGCGGGTCCCCAGAGCTCCCCCGGCCTAAATAGGGGCATTGCGCTTCGCCGCCGTTGGCCCGCGCCCCCGCCTCTCATCGGAGGGCGCTGTCGAGGAGTCTCGAGGGCCCGCTGAGCGCTCCCTCTGGGCCCAAGTCGAAAAGCTGCGCCTCGCCGACACAGGGCCGCGCCGCACCGCCTCTCATCGGAGGACGGGGTCGGGTGTCCCCAGCGCTCTCTCCTGATCGTTTTCCAAACTTGACTGATCGCGTCACGGGTGAATCGGTAGGGGTTGGGCCATGTAAGATATTGCAGGTTTACACACGCTTCAGCGCTGCGTGCTGCAACATTCGTTGTTCGTGTCCGCTCAAGCTGTTTGGGCTCGAGTCGTTCCGACTGAGCCTAGCGTGTTCTCCATGAAGGCATGCTTCAAATACCACATCAGTGAGTCCGCGTGCTTCGGTGGCCACCAGCAGGCACCCGCTCCTTCGACAGCTCCGCGGGCCATGCAGCCTGATAGGGACCGAGGGCCGCCGCCGTCGGAACCCTCCCAGGTCGCAAACTGCAGGGGGCAGATCAAGAAGCTCGAGGCCGAACTCGAGCGGGCGCGGGAGCAGGTTGCCAAGCTGCCAACCCCTGGAAGCGTTGGGACGTCGATTTGGGACACGAGGCTGTGCCCGACCAGTATCGCCTGGCCTCGCTCGACGAAGAATTGGCCACCATCACGGCCCTGCAGGGGCCAGTGTGGGACAAGCTCGGGGCCGATCTTACGTTGGAGAAGCGGCAGATTGAGCAGCGCATGCTCGACGGCCAGCCTGTCTCGCAGCGCCTCCGCACGCTTCTGCGCAAGGTCGACGAGGCAGACGCGCAACTGGGCCAGGGAAAGAAGCACCTCAAATCCTGCAGGGCCCGCCCCAGCGCCGCCGAGTCCGCCGCGCACAAGGCTGAGCAGACCTCCCGGGAGCAGGAGCAGCAGCCGAAGCGATTCAAAACGCAGCAGGCGGCCCTGGTTGCAGAAGGGGTGCATTTCGAGGCACCGTCTGCTCCTCTGCTCCAGCTCGACGCCTCCAGGGCCCAAGCCCTGGTGGCTGACGGGCTGGACAAGCTGGGCCCCCAGGTCCATGACGTTTCCCTCCTGGCCTGGCCGATGTGCGAGCAAGTGCCGCAATGTGCGATCCAGGCGATGGTCAGGCTCGAGGCGCCTGCAGCGAGGGCGTTGGCCGCGGCCGATGGCACGGCCACCCCAGCGAGCGAGGCTGCCTGCGGCGCCGCCGCCGTAGCCCCCGATTGAGCAGGTTCGTGCTGAGACCCGCGCGGGAGGAGTTGATCCTCCGAACGACGACGCAGACGCCCGAACCACGCACGGCCAGTTGCGCAAGGCCTTCGGCGGCAGGGTCTGCGCCGAGAGGTTAGGGGCAGTTTTAGTCCCGATGTAGTGGGTTCCTTGCCCTCCGCCTGCTCATCGTCACGACTCCCTTCTTCCAAATGTTTCGTATTAGTATTGTAGTATTACATCCATTCGTATTAACAGCAATAAAACGATTAGTAGTAGTAGCAGTAGCAGTAGCAGTAGCAGTAGCAGTAGCAGTAGCAGCAGTAGTAGTAGTAGTAGTAGTAGTGGTAGTAGTAGTAGTAGTAGTAGTAGTAGTAGTAGTAGTAGTAGCAGCAGTAGCCGTAGCAGTTGTAGTAGGAGTAGTAGTAGTAGTAGTAGTAGTAGGAGGAGAAGGAGGAGTGGTAGTGGTAGTGGTAGTGGTAATGGTAGTGGTAGTGGTAGTGTTAGTGTTAGTGGTAGTAGTAGTAGTAGTAGTAGTAGTAGTAGTAGTAGTAGTAGTAGCAGTAGCAGTAGCAGTAGCAGTAGCAGTAGCAGTAGCAGTAGTAGCAGTAGTAGTAGTAGTAGTAGTAGTAGTAGTAGCAGCAGCAGCAGTAGTAGTAGTAGTAGTAGTAGTAGTAGTAGTAGTGGTAGTAGTGGTAGTAGTAGTATGGTAGTAGTGGTAGTAGTGGTAGTAGTGGTGGTAGTAGTAGTAGTAGTAGTAGTAGTATAGTGTAGTAGTAGTAGTAGTAGTAGTAGTAGTAGTAGTAGTAGTAGTAGTAGTAGTAGTAGTTGAAGTAGTAGTAGTAGTAGTAGTAGTAGTAGTAGTAGCAGTAGTAGTAGTAGCAATAGTAGTAGTAGTAGTAGTAGTAGTAGTAGTAGTAGTAGTAGTAGTAGTAGTAGTAGTAGTATAGTAGTAATAATAGTAGTAGTAGTAGTAGTAGTAGTAGTCGTAGTCGTAGTCGTAGTCGTAGTCGTAATCGTAGTCGTAGTCGTAGTCGTAGTAGTACTGTTGTTTTCTTAATATTAGTATTAGTATCAGTTGTTGTTCTTCTTACAAGCATGAATAGTATGGCGTTGTCAATAGTACGAAAATAATATTAGTATTAGTAGCATTAGTATGTTTAGCATGCGTCTTACTAGCATTCGTATTTCGATCCTCGTACTATTAGTGGTCTTATTATTCGTTTTCTGCTCAGTTACGTTATTACTAAAACTTGTTATTCGTATTCATGCTTCGCTCCGACTGGGACTTGCGGGAAAGTGCTCAGCCAGGCTACGGTGGTGGCATGATATTGGTTCGCGTTCGGCTTCAGGGAGGTGGCGTTCGTATTCTTCTGGAGCCCAGGCTGCACGATGCGGCCTCGACTGCGGCTTCTTCTGGGGTCGCTGTTGGCGCGGCACGCGCCCGCCCCGACTCGGCCGGCGGGCCCGCGGGCCCTCTGGGGCGGCCAGACCGCCACCCCGTCGGCCTGCCGCCTCTAGGGCTGCGGAAGGCGAGGCCCTCTGATTGGTGGAGCTGGTCAGTGAGCGGCAGCCGCCGCCATCAACGGCGATACATGGGGCGGCGCCCGCTCGGTGCCGGAGCGGTCTGCGGTCCAGGGCCGCCAGTTTGACGCTGTCTTCATCATGATGGAGGCTTGGCTTTTCGACGCGGAGGTTGAGGGGGCGGCCAGGGAGCGTCGCTTTGGCCAAGATCTCAACTTGGACACTGGCGGGCCTGGCCGCACTGGCGTGGACCGCATGGCAGGCTCTGGCGGCGTTGCCCTCCTCCGTATTGCGTCGCACATCGGCGTGTCGAGACTAGCGGAGGAACCATCGGCATTCCAGCCTCGCATGGTGGTGCGCAGGGCCCAGTTCGGCGAGGTCTCGACGCTGCTGCTGTGTTCCCTTGACCTGGTCACTTCCATCGGGCTGGTTGGCGAAGACCTGGACCTCCTGGCTGCGGTGGCCGAGGTCTTCTGCCAGTTCCCCGACACGTTCGTCGTCGGCGCCAACTAGATCTCGGCCACCGAGGACTTGGCGAACCTGTCGCGGGTGGACGAGGTCGGAGGCATTATCGTCCAGCAGGGTCCCCGACCTGCAACGATAACGAGTACGACTTCTTCGTGCGCTCGCGGGCCTTGGCCCACAGCGCGGAGGCCGTCGTGGCCCATGTTGGGCACGCGCGCGCAGGTCACGACGTGCATTTGTGAGATCTGGGCGCAGCCTCAGGTGCCGTAGGCAGTTCGCGGAAGGACGCATCTGCCTGCCGTGCTGAGCCCATTGACGAGTGGAACCAGGAGCACGCCAAGTTGCCTCAGCCGCTCGGCAACTTGGAGGGCGCTTGCGGCCGCTGGTTCGACTTGGCGGAGCAGCACTTGCTCCGCGCCTGCTCCGCGCCCAGGGCATCGAGGCGGGGCGCGCCCGCCATGTCCATGGCCGCTCGAAGGGGGGCCCGCCTGGCCCAGCGCCCACTGGCAGAGGTGCAAGCTCGGAAGCAGCGCCTTCACGATTCGAGCGGCACCGAGGCGCGGTGGAATTTGCTCGAGATTTTGCGCGGGCCCCTCAGATGGAGCCAAGCCCGCCTAGAATCGAAGGGCAGGAGGGCATGTTTAAGGGCCAGGCTGACCCTGCAGGCCCGGCCGATCGATCTGCCCCCCACGCTCTCTAAAGCAAAGGCTCTCGCCGTGATGGACCTCGACAGTTGGCCCGGGCTCGCAGGGCGCGATAGCCCGCTGGCGGCCCGGCGCGAAGGCCTGTTAGGGGGATGAGGCGCAGCGGCGGCGCAAGGCCGACGCGTCGGCGAGGTCCGATGAGCGGCGAGAGCTCTGCACCTCGGCACAGACTCATTCGGTCGGGCCCCGTGGAGTCGCTGTCTGCGGTGCTGCCAGGGGGGGGGGGCTGACGACCTCCCGCAGGTGGGCTCGGAGGCGGCCGAGGCCATCTTGCGCGAGCGACTGCCGCTCCAGTGCAAAGCCGACCGCGATTTCGAGCCTCCGGCAGCAGGGTAGCCCGTCGAAGCTGGGTTGGACTCGATCCCCGCACGGCAGGTCCGCGCGGTGCTTAGCAGTGTCGGGATGCGCACGGAGCTGGGGCGGGATAACCCCCATTCCCGCGCACTGGAGCAAGTGTCGGTGGCTTTGCTGATCATGCTTACTGGCATCCCAGACGAGCGGGAGCGGCAAGCCCTGCCGCCGCCTCTGTAGACGACGATGCTCGCGTTTATCCTGAAGCCCCCGTCCGACAAGTTCCGTAGCCGATCGGCTTGCTGAGCTTGTGGCTTCGGGTTTGGTCTCGGTTCCAACAGCGCGATGTTCGACGCTGGGAACTCAGCGTTGACTCGACGTTCTTCTAAGCCAAGAGCGGGGGCACGGCGTCGGACAGGGTAGCCCACAATCATGGTTTTCTCGCGGTGCACACGAAGCACCGCAATATGGTCAGCGGCACGCTGTACTTCGACACCTCGAAGTTTTACGAGAACGTTTTCCATGCCGCTATGTGGGTGGCTGACCGGGACTACGGCTTTGACGGGCGTTTGCCACGGGCGATGCGCGCGCTTTATCGTTGCCCGCGGCGAGCGCCATGGTTTGGGGCGACTTCCAGGGAGGTGGCGCCCAACGTCACGGCGATCGCGGGCTGCTCCAGCGCTACCAGAGTCGCGAAATTGTTCACCCCCTGCGTGCTTAGGACCATTTCGGCGGAGACGTCCGCGTGCAGGCCGCTCAGTCTTGTCGATGACCTGAAGATCCACGCTATCGGGGGTTCTGCAGGTGGTTACCCGGCACTTGGTCCAGGCTGGCATCGCGGTCATCACTGAGATGAACCGCTTGGGCTTGCAATTCAACCTCAGCAAGACGTGGTTTTCACCTCCACGTCGGAGTTGGCCGATACGCTGTTGGCGGATCTGGATCGGCCCTTCGACGCTAGTTGTTCCGCTTCGGCCCACCGCGATTTGGACGGCCGCCACAGGCGTGTGTTTACGCAGGCCTCCCGTCTTGCGTCTGCTAGCGCCGCGGCTGGCAGGCTCCAGAAAATTTGTCGGGGAAGGTGCGGGTCGGGTGCACAGGGCGGGGCCTGCCGCCAGGACGACTTGGGGAGCCCACGTCATGGGTCTCAACTCGGCCCCCCGCGCACTTCGAGTCTCAGCGGCCCGTTCTTCTGGGTCCCTGCAGCCTGGGTTTTCCCCAGGGTTCACGCTGCTCTTCTGTGGGGATGCCAGAAGGACCCGCTGTCCTGTGTAACTAAAGCGGCGGTCAAGACGTTTGTTCCTGTCTGGTGGAAGAAGTCTGTCCCGAAGGCTGTTTTGGACCGTGCGTTTCAGGATGCCGTGCGAGTGTCGGCCAAGGTAGAAACATGGAGTTCCGCCAGCCAGCCCGCGGCGGCCTTGGTGCTCTCTTTGGCCAGGATTGGGTGGCATCTCGATTTTGAAACGAGTTGCTGGTTGATCACTTTGGGAGGCCGTGGGGCATGCCATGTGTCTCGCTTCCCTTTTTCGATGTGCAAGTTCTTGATGTAGACGATGCTACCGCTGCTGATGAGCAGGCGCGTCAAGCCCACTTTGGAAGCGAGTGGGCTGAGCCGATGTTTCTCAAACTGGCCTTGGATTTGCTGTCGTCAGATTCGGCTTTGTGGGCGGCTCACTGCCGCAAATGCTCGAGAGACCCTCTGGCCAACAGGGACTGGTGTCGCCGACCGCTGCCAGGACCTCTCGCCGTTTTGTCTGTTGTGCATGGAGAGGAGCCGCGGGGCACTGTTTCATCGTCGATTTTGCTGCCCGGCACACGCCGCGTGGCGCAGGTATTGCCTAGGCTCTAACTTGGAGGCTGCCTCGGTCGTCGTTTCGGGTTTGTCCCCGCGTGCCCAGGGACGTCTTGCTCGCGGGGCCCTGCCCTGTTTCCCGCTTCGTGGTGGAGCAGGAGGTTCGGAGCGACCATTCGAAGGCGCTCGACCACATGAGCCTAGACTGGTTCGAGCATGTGTGGCTCGACCTTGGCCCTGCC